TGTTAAGTTTCTATTCTGAGATTCTTGATACATGATGTGACTGGGTCACATGGTGATGTTTTAAGAATCAAAGAAAAGTGAAGAAACTTAAAGAAAGAATATGCTGAATCTGATCGCGTAGATGGATTTCTATCGCGTAGTTTGAAGATCGGATTCTTGAGCTACTTCTTAGGAGTTATGAGATATTGCTTAGGAATAGATAACAACAAGTTTTCATATGGATTGTAAGGATAGTTTTTCCGCAAAGTTTTTAAAATAAAAGGAAAAAATTTTTGATTTTATTTATTTTAAAATATCCTTACAATGGCATTTGAGGAAAAATTGTTGCTTATATGATTCCATTAATAGCAAGAGTGGAAATATGAAATTGATTCTTTCATTTGTGGTAATGTCTAAATTTACCAAATAAGGAAAGATTCTCATCACCCAAGTCTCAATTGGACCGGAACTTGGAATCATGCAAGTTGTATAGCATGATGAATGAGAACTTTCAAGTTTTGGAAATTAAGACTAATTACTTGTTCACATGGATGTGTGAGTCAAGTAAAGGACTAAGGGATCGAGTACACATTCTTGTGCACTGATTAAGTCCACCACAAAAGTTTGATAAGACTATTCGTCATAGTTTACTAAAGCTCAATAAATATGATTATACTTAGCAAGAAGGGATAAAAGTTTCTCAAATCTGAAAAGATGGGAGAGTACTTTAGTATCAGTTTTTGTGATCATCTTAATGATTAAGAAACCATAGCACAATTAGTTCTCTAAGGAAATCTTAGTGCATTCTTATGACTAAGAAGAGGAACTTGAATTGTTGAAATGGTTAAATCAAGAAGATGAGTCATACTTCGTTCCAATACAAGTCTTAGAGTCATACTCCAAGATTGTAACTTGAGTGACATGTCTTAAAGAAGGTTTAAAACACTTGTCAAATGTAAGAGTAAAAGTTTTCTACTGTTGTACATTTAAAATTGGTAAGTTATGATGTTTTGGATAAAACAAAGACCAACTTAGGCCAATTGTGTGAAGTGTTTGTCTTGATTAGAATCCACACTATCTCTTGGATATTTAACAATGGAGTCTTATAGGTCAAGAGGACAGTGGGAGTCTTAAAGGTCTTGAAAGTCTCAAGAACTAATCAAGAATAAAACCCGAAGTCCTTCACTAGCACACGACTTGAGGTTTATAACCTATCGTGTTGACATATTCTGTGTCCATTCCAGTTAAAGTTGGCTTTGCATATGAGTTCTTAGAGTTCTCAACTTGTTGCACAACAACTTGGAAGCAATGGCAGGCCCTTGAGATGCCAGGTGGCAAGAAATTAAGATTGAGTTTAGTCCATATGAGTCTGGATTTGTCATTATCCTTGTCTTGTGACTATGGTTTTGATAATTCACATGGATAAGAACACATACACCATTAAATCTAAGTGTCATAAGGTTTCTCTCCGATTCATGAAAATGATGGTGAGGAAACACTTTCACTAAGTAGATTTTAGCTAGATAGCAATTGTGATATTTGAATTCTCAAAGTCGTTAGTGGAGCGTGTATGGTTTACCGGCACACTAACCTGTACTTGTGAGAAGTGGCAAAAAGGTCTAACTATTATGATTACGGCATCCCGGTCTAACCATTATGATTACGGCATCCCTCTTCATAATTGTTTAGACACACAAGTGTGCTATCTAAGGGAAGGTGTATGATTTTGATCTAGTATCAGAAATCTGAACTTTGGTAAGAAAGTCAGCTGATTTCTGAGTACATGTCAAAGCTAGTGGGAGCATAAGTGTTATGGTAATAATCATCATGTTAGTGGGAGCATGATAATTATGATAAGTATTGCAAGTTAGCAATGTTAATTAGGAAAGAGTTGTTTTGCTATAATTAAGGGATAAGAAATTATACTTCATCTCAAATCTATAAGCTTAGATCGTGAGGTTTTAATCATTTAGTCAAGGATATATATATATATATATATATATATATATATATATATGAATTTCATGTTGGAATGGCTCAACATAAGGAAATTCTGTATATGGGTCCATTATTTGCGTTCTAAAATTCGATTATGATTACGGCATCCCTTTCCATAATCTGAATTATGAGAACTTGGCAAATTGAAATGGAAATGTTATAGCAAAAGACTGGTTTAGTCTTTATGTGAGACATCATGAATCGTGTCCCATATGCTTCGGATATAGGATCGATTACATGTGCTATATTCACCCTTTCTAAAATTTTCCAAATGCCTGGGGCATTAAGAAGGGAAAAGGTTTAGATCTGGATATGACTAAAAGGATTAAACAATTGTCGAGGACAATCTAAGGTTTACCAAAGATTGGTTGCTCAAGGACAGTTGGAAGTATAGTGATAATTCTGGAAGGACCATATTGACATAATCTGTAAGGAGGCAACTCTTGTTCAGAAGTGATAGTCAAAATGGAATCTGGAAATGTTTCAAAGTTAGAATTTTCAATCTGTTTAAGATTAGGAAACTTAATGCAAGAAGGATGTTTCCAAGGAGCTGATCTCCTTTGGAATGCTCTGTAATGGTTGTTGTCAAGTCTTTCTGAATTTGTGCATAATCATTACAAGAGGATCAATGCATATAAGTTTAGAATCTAACAGATTTCAGTAAATGACATGAATTTGGAATTCTTGCATTTGCAGTAAGGATTTGGGAGTGTGAAAAGAGAATCATTGAAGTTATGTTCAATTGATCTAGTTCACAAAGTAAAGATCATAGACAAACATAGTATGCATACTTGGTGTATGGCATGACTAGTGTTTAGAAAACATAGTGTACATGCTTGGAGCATGGGACAACTATTGTTTTAAATTCAAGAATAAAGTTGATAGCTGAAACAGTATACAATGAATAATGTGTAATCATATGGTGATAAATAAAAGGTGTTTTATTTATGTTCATAGGTTTTGATACCATATTGGATTCAATTATTATTGTGTTTCACTTTGCATGTTTTGACTTCCCGAATAAACTAGGTTATTCTTCCGGAATGACTAAGTTATTCAAACCATCCACAGTCGGTCATATGTTGGAAGTAGATATGAATTAAGACTGTCATGGGTTGGCTTGTAGAGGTCTAAGGTGTTGGACAAAGGGCTACAACACTCATGAGTGCTCATAAGTTCTGAGTATTGGATTCAACCCGCGCTCATTGGAATCACTTCATGGATTTTATCACGAGTGATCATGAGACGATAATATCTTATATTCTTCAAACCTAGAGATATGAGTTGTTACTATGAGTTGGTTGTACATTGATTGCACAAAACCGCATTTGGTAACTCGGTGCTATAAAACGTGCCTTTGTGTATGATTCAACAAGTAGTAGAACAAGCCATATGAGTCGAAGTTTATCCATTCCTTTTACCTTCGGGATAAAAGCGATATCTGTGGGCCCCTCGATGATTTGATGATGACAAATGGAAGTGCTCGGCCGGGCCAGGACTGATTTGATTTGTTCAATTAGTCAGTCGTCATAAATCGGAAATCGGGAAACAACAAATGGACAGAGAGAATGATTATAATCCATGTCTCAGTCCATATGATATCTAGAATGGAGGAATATATGATCCCTTATCTAATGGATAAGTCATTGACAAAGGTCAGAGTTCATCTACAAGGTCAAGTTCGACAGAAGCTTTTGAGAGCTACGATTGCCAGTTGGTTCCTGAAGTCATACGCAATAATAGTTTTAGACTTATCCAAGTGGGAGACTGTTGGATTAATTTCTAAGTCCATAACTATAATTGGTAAGACTTGACCCGACCCGGCATGGTCCATTTGGGTTGCATGGCATCATGCACTTGGATAGACTATAATGAGAGAAATAAGACACTTATGGTTATTAATATATTATAAGTTCTAGTATATTAATAATAAGAATAATAAGATTATTTAATTAGTATTGATCAAGAATTAATCTAGGATTAATTAAGTGATCAAAAGAAGACTAATTAAATATATGGGTTGATTGTGCAAATCATCCATACTTATATAGTGGGCTAATGCTCCATGGATTATCTAGTTGGGCCAAAACCCATATGATGCTCCATGGTGTATTTGAACCCATGGATCCAAGGAAATGGAAAGTCATGACAATTAGGGTTTACCCTAATTGTATAACTATATAAGCATCTTATTCTTGATCAAATCGGCCACTAGAAAGAGAAAGAAAGGGCTAGCCGATTTTCATGAAGTGTAGAATTCTCTCAAGTTATTCCAAGTGTATTTGGTGTTGTGTGAACCATTTGAGGTGTCACACTTGGGGCACTAGGCACTCAAGCTTCATGAAGACATTCTACATCAAAGAGGTATGTATTCTATCTTGTTATATTGATAGTTTTGTATGCTAGATTAGGATAATACCTTGGATGTTCATATTTGCATGTATTATAGAGAAAACATAAATCCAAGGTATTTAGGGTTGCATGTAAACTTAGGAGTGTTAGAATGCTCATAACCCAACAAAACAATGACAAAAAAAAACTTGTACTTAGCAAGTGTTGTCTTGTGTATTGATGTTAAACTGCTTGATCATACCAAGTGATATAAAAAAACACAAAACTCTTTAAAAAAACACATTTTCCATACAATGAGGGTATACGTATATTGATGCCATTATCAAAGAGTAACATACCATTTCATTTTGAAGATTCCCAAAGATCTCATCTCTCTAATATTGATGCCATCTCTCTAGCACCTAAGTCAAGGGGCATGTTGACTCTCCCTTGAAAATTAAAAAAAAAAATCAAAACTTTTAATACTCTTCACTCTAAATAATGTTAAATTGTTACCTTGTTTGATCTTTTGGATTGATTGCTTTCATGGGTGTGTCCAACAACATCTGACATAACCTCTTCAGTGTATGAGAAGGTGAAGAAGTTTCCATGTCATCTGACATACCAAATGAAGCTCTTGATAAGTAAACTTTACCACTCATATCCAAAAAAACTTCTCAGGTCCATAAATATTACCTGATATGAATTGACTGCAACTTTAAGGCTCGAAGGTTTGAATCTTCCAGTGCAAGTAGCTTAAACAATGCCAAAGCTTCCTCAAATTTTCTGAATGTTGTCAATTGTACAATCTGCATTTTGATACAAGATTTAGGCACTGATAAAATTACAATGGCCATTGCTCTTGTAAAATAACTGTAGCATAAGGCTTCTGAATAAGAAGAGGCTCATTACTAATGTGCTCAATAAGGCGAGGCTCTAAATTCCTTAACTTCTCCGGAAGTTCACCATCAGGACCACATAGTGCATCCATGTTGTAATCATAGTTAAAAAAAATATGAACAAAAGTTACAGAACCATGTTTGATTTTGCTTTATTATGTTAACATTTAACAACCAAGTATTGAACTTACTTACCATCTTTTTGTTGTTACATCTAATGCATCCTCTTGCTTATGAAAAGCTACCCCTGGATCTCTACCAGCTTGCTCAAACACTTGACTGTAGTGACATGTTGCAGAAACAATGGATAAACATGAATAACCCAAAAAAAAACATTAATAAACCATAAAAGTATTTTACTTCGAACAGGTGGAACCAATTTACAAATCTGATAAGTTTGCAATTTAGATTTCAAACATCAACAATGTTCCATTCAAACATAACTAATATTTCTCCCATCCAGATCCTACACAGTAAAATTATAACTGAAACAGAATTGAATTAGGATTCTAGCTTAATTTGAAATTACAAACTACATTAACTTCTATACCCTTTTGTCCACATATTTGTCTATAACATGGAGAGAAGCGTCCAAACATAAAAAACAACAATTGTATCTCAAATTATCTACATTTCCCCAGTTCTGTTCTGACATATACAAGATTATAACTCAGTAAAGTAAATAATTGCAAAAAATAGCATTCTACTTTCAGTTTGTATTTGAATGATAATGATATAATAAACAAATCAATGAAAGTATGTTGCTATTTCTTGTAGTTAACTTGTTTGGATTATTCAAGTATTGTTTTGGAAGAATATGAGATACCAACCTCCATAGTCTTTTCCCGAAGATATTTGCTAGGAAGAACACCAGATGAAGCATATAAATGAAGGTATTGATTAATCTGAAAATATTCATTTATATTAAAAGTGTATGAAAAAATTTGCAAAATTAAGGACATTTCAATTTTGGAAGGATAATACCGCCTACCTTTCTATGGTCATTTGGATGAATTCTATTTACTGTAACTGGATCAAGATCCTTAAGATTATCATAACCATAACTAAAATTCTCTTGTTCTTGCATAAGTTCAATAGGTTGTTGTTTATCTCCTGTTCATAAAAAGGGTTTGTTCAGAAATGTCATGTCTACTTGTTAAAAGAGTGCATAAGAATTTGAAGTAGAAAAATGTTACTTACCATATGTTTTATCTAGGCTGAGTTCATCAGTATCCACAGGTGAATCATCTAAAAGAAATCGACTCACAAGTGCCTGAAAACAGCAAGGAGAATAAGGAATAAAACTACAAGTTACACTAAATTTAGAGATTGAAATTTCTGTAAGCTTTAGATCCTTATGAACATACTAAGTAATGTTTTAAAACAGTCCTTGGATTTTTTGTACCCAAGGCATCCCTTATGAATTTACTTAGTGCAATGAAACAACGATTTTTACAAGGATAAATCATTAATAACATAGTTAGAAAGTTTACACATCAAATTATCCCATCTCCATCTTCCGATTCAATTGAGGGCACTGGTTCTACAACAGGTGGAATACAATCCACTTTGTAGCGAAGAGCCTGTTTTTACACATCTAACAATATTAACTACATTATAGATGATAACAATGATAAGGGTATTCATGTCTTTTGAGCACACAAGAGAAAAAAATGTTCCAAGAAGTCATTTTCAGCAGAATCAAACAACTAACCTTCTTGAAAAAGGTTGAATACGAATTGTCCCATGCAAGTGTGTAGTTGCCAGCCATGACTGTGCAGAAATTACCCTGCAAAAAGACATTTTTACCCTCTGAATTTACTTTTGGTTTAAATGGAAATTATAAAACTTGCAGGAAGATGTTACTTACTTGGTTAGACTCGTATCACCTGTAGGGCAAGATAAGCTATATGAAAACAAACACAGAAAGTATGACTTGATCCAGTAAGTTATATATTATATATAAAGTGTTTATTTTCTCCAAAAAGTTTTAAACATTATTTATTTAAACATTACATAATGAGAAAAATAAAAAATTATAAGACATGAACTTACTGTTTTCTGTACAGTAAAACTTGTGTGCTCCACACAAAACCCAATGTCCTGTAACAAGATAGGTATACTTTCTACATTGTCATATCATATCCACAGAAATAGACATTTTTTCCCAATATTTGACCTTTTTCCTTCTGTTTCTTAAAGATTTCTTAGTTTTAATGAATTTGAGGTATTTGAGAATTTACACAAAAGGTCAATAATCATCTGCTAATCTTAAGAGAAATTGACACTTTTATGCAAAATACATAGGTCATTCCACAACTTCCAAAAAAGTTTGGGTCTGCTATGAAAAAAGTGAAAGTACAGGGACTGTTGCTTAATTTACAAAAAATCCAAGGACTGTTTTGAAACATCCAAATAAATTCATGATTATCATGCTTATTTTCCCTTGCAGTATGGATAAATCCCAAGCAATGTATATATTTACTTAGTATCTTCATAAGGATCTAAAGCTTTATTCCTTCAAAACACTACTTATGAATTTACTTAGTATGGAGAACAAGGAATACCTAAAATCCTTTGCAGTGAACTCGACCATAGGGCTGATTGTACCCAATAGATGGTGTGGCACTCCTACATATATAGAGAATCACAGATGATTAGTGATGATACATTGAGGAAGAAAGAACGAAGACATTGACTTGTGAAATGATATCGATGCATAATCAATTTGTTTTCATGCGAGAAATCAATCAAACCTTTCTTGTAACGACCAAAATTTCGAAACAATTAAAACTTTTCACAAACAACTCATTTTAATATCGTGGTTACAAAAAGGTTTTCAATACATTATTTAACAGAGTATTTTCCCAGGTCTATTTCATAAAACACCAACGCGAGGAACGGTACGATCACGCCTTTGCCTTGCCACAGACTCCTGAGAACCTGAAAACATAAAACCACAACTGTAAGCCCGAAAGCTTAATGAGATACCCCCAAAATACCAACCACATATACACCCTTCCAGGCCACAACCTTCCGGTCCAAACATATCGCCTTCCGGCCCATTACGTAATGCCTTCCAGCCCATAACACATTGCCTTCCGGCCCATAACATATCGCCTTCCGGCCCGTAACGTAAAAGCATATGTATATATCATGACAGAACATAGAACAACCGTGCCGATCACTAGCATAACATCACCCTATGCCTCAGCCAACAAAATAATTATGCACATACGCCTTTCCAGGCCATGACCTTCCGGTCCACATAGCATTGCCTTCCGGCCCGTAACATGTAATGCCTTCCGGCCTATATCCCGTAATATCATACAACAGACAATTACCCAGATTTCCATCCGATAAAAGGGTTGGCCTTGGTGCCCTAAACCCTATAGATATAGTGAGGATAACTCACCTTGAAACTGCCGACTGAACAGATAACCCGAACTGCTCCGATCCCTGATACGATCTCCACCACTGGACCGCCACCAATGCACTGAACTCAAAACCATAACCAACAATTACCAAAATACCCATGGAAACCACTGTTCAACCCTTGGTCAAAGACTGGGTCAAAGTCAACCCCTGACTGACCCTACTCGCCGAGTCAACCCCATGACTCGCCGAGTTCCCAACTCAAAACTTCACTCAATCCGCGACCTAACTCACCGAGTCACCCCGAGACTCGCCGAGTCCAACAACTCTGAGTCCATTCGCACATAACTCACCGAGTCATCCCTTGACTCGCCGATTCTTCGACTCGACCAGAAAATATTGGGACTCTTCGACAAGACTCGCCGAGTCCAAGAACAGACTCGCCGAGTCTAAGGCTATCTTCAACCTACTCGCCGAGTTGTTCATCCAACTCGTCGAGTTCCAGACCATCTTCATCCAACTCGCCGAGTTGTTCTTCCAACTCGTCGAGTCTCAGATCGTCTTCAAGCAACTCGTCGAGTCCACCCATGTGACTCGCCGAGTATCACCGATCTGAATCCAAACAGAAGCGTTCCAGACCATGCAATTGATCCAAAACATAGATCTAGCCTCCTACAACTCATCCATCACGTAAAGTGTCAATCTTTACATGAATCCAAAGAGATCTATGCATTTTGCACATTAGGGCTAAGGTTTGGGACAAGATAGCTTCATCCAACACTCAACACAGGGACTTTCCTGCATTCTACCCCTCCTCCATTCCAGATCTGAGGTAGCAACCTCAGATCCAACCTTTAGACTCCAAAATAACCCAAGATAAGTTTCCCCCCAAACCCCAAAATGAAGAGACAAGACAATAGCAGCTCAAGAACGAGATTTTACCTTCAAAGAGTGCCCTAAACTGCAAGGAAACTCGAATCCAAGCAAAACCCCTTGCTCCACACCTTCAAACTTCCAAACTTTCTCCAACAATTACTTCTCCAAGCTCCAATCCACTCAACAATGGTGCTTCTCCACGATTTTAGGGTTTCAAGAACTCAAAGGGGTGATAAAGAGGCTGGGGAGGAAACCTAATGCTCTTTATATAGGGCTCAACCCCAAGAATTAGGGTTTTCTCCACTTAGCGCCTACTCGCCGAGTTGGCTATTTGACACGCGACCAAGTCGCGACTCTACTCGCCAAGTCCATCCATGGACTCGCCGAGTCACTCTTTCCCAAATTACACCTTTAGTCCTTCAACTCAACTCTTGCTATTTCGGGATGTTACATTTCTGATCGTCAAGTGGAACTTTATTAGTGAGAACATCCAATCTGTGACATCCCCAAAATCTCGGCCAGAAAAGATCGATTTTCATTTATGCTTTTAAAATAATTTCAGAGTAAATCCTTTTGATTTGAAAGAGTTGCGGAATTTGTTCCCAAAAACAAAACATGATAAAACAATGTTTACCAAAGCATTGCATAAAAGAAATGTATTTTCATTATATAATCAAAACTCGGGGTGTCATGTTCCGATACAGACCAATAAGCATAAACGATAACATTACAAGTCATTCAACAAATATATACATATACAGACTTGTAAACAAAACAACTTGACGGTTCATCCATCTTATGCCCTTACGCCACTTCCTGTAATACAATTAAAACTGAGTGGGTCAGGCTTGGGAGCCTGGTGAGCATATAGGGTTTTCAACCCACAATAAATAATTAAATTAATTTTCATCAACCAACAATAACCCAATTACCCATTCCCGTTATTCTCACTTTATGTCCCTAAAATAACTAACACAAGGGACCTAGTCTAAGAATATTTCATCGGGGTGACAACACATGCTTCGGGGGTTCCTCAGCAATATAAGTCAAATAAGGCAACCATGAGGGGGATGGAATACAACGAATGAACACCCAAGTTCATTAACACCTACAGGTTATGAGCCTGCTAGCATTCCATGGGACTGTCTAGAAAAGTCCGTGGTCGTCATCTAAATTCCGCTAGATGACTGGATCCAAAACAACATCGAGGCCTCTCGTCTGTTTATTACACACCAACTATCTACCCATGTTCTACCCAACATATTAGTAGATAAAACATACATTTTTATACATATTTTCAAAACCTGTATAACATGCTCAATCAATACATTTTCCACATAACAGATGAGGCACACCCACATAACACGTATTTCATAGAGAAATAAATAGATCTATAAGTTAGAAGAAAGTGAATATACATTCACACACATAACAACAAAATATACACATAACACGTACTTTGTATAAAATACTTCATAATTATGCGTTAGAAGAAAGTAACCACACACTCACACATATAAACAACAATATACTTAATACACTCAAACCATACTTATATTATTATCGTGTTTATGAAAGGTAGTATACACTCACTTGATCAGAAGATGAGTAATCCTCAGCAGATCTGGAAGATCTTCACAAAAATCGAACTTCTCGCGGGCAGAGCTTCGGCTCGGAAACCGCACTTCTCGGGATCTTCAGGATCTCGGGACTTGGTTCGGGACTCGGGAATATTACCGGGGCTTGGGGTACTTCTGGAACGCAAATCGATGCAAAACGGGAGAGAGAGGAGAAAAGAATAGCAAAAGAGTCGGCTGCCCTCGCATCCTATTTATAGGAAGCTGAGGCCTCGCAGTACGCGGAGCGTACTGCCTTACGCGCGGCGTAAGCCTCGGTTCGTAAGCGCATGCATCATCCGAAGAACTCGAGTGCGAGTGTCGAAATACCATGGGTACGCGGGGCGTACTTCGGATGAGTCCGGTGACTCCTCTTCGGATAATGTCGGATTTAATAATTAATTTTAATTATTAATTATTTAATAAACTTCGAAAATTCATATCTTCTTCATACGAACTCCGTTTTCGACGTTCTTTATATCCACGCGAAGGTGAGACTACGCTCTACAACTTTCGTTTAGACTCCGTCAGCTAATTTTGACTTTATTTTTATTATTTATTTTTAATAGGCTGGGACAGAAAATTTCGTTATAAATTCATAACTTCTTCGTTTGACATCCGTTCTCGCCTAACTTTTTATCGCTTCGATACTAACAACAACATCTTCGATTCTCATTTATATCACTAAGGCTAAATATCTCTCTAACGTAAATTTCACTTTTTACGTCATTTAGCGTTGTCGGTTCCGTCGTGAAACTTCGACAGGTCATAACTTCTTCGTTATAACTCGGATTTCGGCATTCTTTATATCTTCGGAAACCTTGTTTCAACTAATACAACATTATCTAAAGATATCAAGTTCATTTTACACTTAAATTTTGACACTTATTTTTATTCTTAATTAATCAAACCACATAATTAAGCAATTAAGCACAAAACACATAATACTCAAATAATATACTCTTATTATTTCAAAACGGGTTACAAAGGTTAACCTAGACTATTTCATTGCTAAAAGTGGCAAGCCTGGAAACACAGGCGTTACACAATCCTTCGTACACCTAATCAAAAAGTTCACGAAGAACAAATTAGGTAATACCAATATATATATATGTTCGTACTTGTGTGATTGTGTTCAAACCTGCATGGAATCGGCGTTAATGATTTCGATAGGGAATAGTGAAGTTAGGTCAATGGCGAGACGAGATTTTCCAGAACCTGTTGCTCCCATTATCACTACTACTTTTGGCTTGGCATTAAAATTTTTTGGGTTTTCTTCTTCTTTCGGGTTCGGAATGCCATTAGGGTCTCTGCAACTATCACTCTCCATCTCGCACTCGCCCTCCCCTCCGATACGGCCGCAGAGTGGTAGGAATTTCAAAGAGGAGATGATCAAAAGAAAAGAGGGAAGACCGAGACAACAGAAAATCAAAATAATTCAAAAGCAAAAGAAAAGAAAGACCAAATGAAATCAAAATCAAAATACAAGAGCATCTGGAGGAGATATCGATGGAGATCGATGTATACCTGGATGAAATAGAGGTAGAACACGCATCAATATATGGATCGGTTGTCACATAAACACCCTTAAAGTTGACCTTAATGCATTTCTCTTTAAAAAAAATTAAGACAAAATCGAAAGGGGCGTGGGTCGGCGACGGTGGCGGAGAAGAGAGATGAGTGATATTGTAATCCCCAAAAATCAGACACAAAAATCTCTATATCGGGTTTACAGATATGAAATATCGACATGTGAGTAATGGAGTAGTAGTATTGGCTATCATCTCCATTGTCGATCGCAGACATTAAGGGAGAGGGATAACGAACCAGAAGGGTGAAGTGGTGCATCGGTGGCTATTGTTTTAGCGATCCGGTGGGGGACTATGGTGGTCCGATAGGAGCGAAGGCAAGAGCTAGATCAGAAAACCAAAAGGGTGATTATGGTTTTCCAGAGAGAGAGAGAGAGAGAGAGAGTGCAGAGGTATAGGAAGAGGGTTGCTTCAAAAGGATTATTAGGGTTTTTTGTTTGAGGATTTTAGAAGGAAAAGAAGGAGATGAATCAGGCGAACAAGGATTATTAGGGTTTTTTGTTAAAGGATTTTAGAAGGAGAATAAGAAGATGAATCAAGCGACTGTTTAATTTTTTGGAATTTCATTTCCCACCATAGATTATTAAAACAACGCAGAACGCCCCTTTCTAAAAAATATAAAACAACATATTTACACGACACGCCTTTTATGATAGGTGCCCTCCGTGTTTTTTTTGTTGGACACTAATTTTGGGGCGCGCCCAAAATGCGTGTCTTTTATCCTTCAAATTTTGGAAAACTAACATTAATTTCTAGGGCACGCACAAATGCGCATCCTCTATTAGTGTGTATCATTAATTGCGCGTCGTAAAATGTTGTTTTTCTTGTAGTGCATTCTGGGGTGCTGGCCTACTCGTATCAGACCATTCTTGGGTGCCTATCTACCCACCGGTCTGTCTCACCCGACCATGGGGATTGTTTCACCCCTATTACTACTACCACGCATATCATAACATAATATTATTGTCAGGCATATTTGGGGTGACCAACCTACCCTTCGGTCTTAACAACCGAACTTGGGACTATTCCCCTCCTACTACCACTATCATATATAACATATCATGCTAACACATAAACATACCGGGTAGTAGTAAACAAACAATTATCACAAAGACAATCATCCCAACTATACTACTAGTGGACCGACCTTGGTGCCTTAGACACACTTCTACTGGAAGGTAACTAACCTCGTAAATTGTATATCGAATCTCGTGGGGGAAATCTCTAGCAGCCGCTCTGATGACTCCCGGCTATCAGAGATACATAACACTCAATCAGAGTCTATAACACTACTCAGGGTAAAATGAACGTTTTACCTTTTGGTCAATTTGGAACATACTTAAGTTCCGATTTAAACTTATCAAGCCCAGCTCTCTTATGGCCCATTAAGGATTCCTTAAGGGCCCACTAATTATCCAACATCTGATTTAGACCTTATTTCCCCAAATGGGCCCAAAATTCCCAAGTCCAATATAATAATCCTCAAAGAGTCCAATACTCAAGTTTCTTATTCCTAAGTTCAAAATGATACTTCTCAGTGGTCCATGAGGCCCAAAAGTCCAGACCCATCCTCTTAGGGCCCAAAACCCCAATAAGGGTTGGGACATATAAGGGAGAAGGAAAATTCCCAAATGGGCCCAAAATTCCCAAGTCCAATATAATAATCCTCAAAGATTCCAATACTTCTCAAGGTTGTGGCATCGTAGGTTGGGACATATAAGGGAGAAGGAAATATTAGTTGTAAGTAAAAAAAGATTGTTTAGCGTGGTGGTTATCGGAAAGATCAAGTTTTGTGAAGCTTATGTTAAAGGGAAGCATCACAAAGTGAAGTTCGATATCGATCAACACACAAGCAATGAAATCCTAGTATATATTTACTAGGATATGTAGGATCCATCTATAGTTAAATTTCAAAGTGGATGCTCATACTCTGTAATGTTCATTGGTGATTATTCAAGGAAAATATGTTTGTATTTTCTAAATAAAAAAGGCAAGGTGCTTGGGAAGTTCAATGAGTGAAAGACAATGGATGGGAAAAGGAATGGAAAACATGTCAAGACTCTCATAACTGATAATGGGTTAGAGTTTTTCAATGATCCATTTGATAACTTTTTCAAAACAGCTGGTATAGTGAGACACCATACTGTACAACACACACCATGTAACGCCCGTATATCCGGGCTAGTCAATTTAGAGGCAATAAGTGTCGAAAACAATTTTTTGCAAAAATATTATTTATAATAAATAGTATTAACCAAGTTTTAGAATATGTATCAAGGTTTCCGTACATATAAAGAACACTGAAATCCGAGTTATAACGAGGAAGTTATGGCCCGTCGAAGTTTTACGGCAAAACCGGCACGACACCGAGAAACGTAAATAGTAAATTTACGATGGAGCAACTTTTATCCTTAGCAATCTAAATGAAATTTGTACTATATGTTAAACCGAGAACATACAAAAAAAAAAAGAACGCCCAAATCTGACTTCGTATGAGGAAGTTATGATTTTTCTAAGATTCGGCTTAGAAGTGCACAACCTGAAACTCGAATTTTAGTTCGAGCGGTTTTTAGCTTACGCGACCTAAATGAGAGTTGAAGATCTCATTAATAGGAGCTCAACGGTAAAAAGATAGATGAAAATGGAGTCCATATGAAGGAGTTACGAATTCTTCGCGGTCATTTAACAATCTAAACGCCTCCTACTGTTAAATTTGAGATCGGTCGAGAATTAGCCGGTGGAGTCTAAATGAAAGTTGTAGATCTTGATTTTACATACGCGTTAAAAAAAAGAATGTCAAAAACGTAGCTCGTATGCGAGAGTTATGATTTTTATAAGTTTGAAGGCTGATACGCGATAGGGGGTGACGTGGCACCACCAGAATTGGACACGTGACACCACCAGAAGGCTGCCACATGCCCCAACTCGGCGATTAGGTCCTCCTACACGGCGAGTCCATCAGGAATTCATCCTATAAATAGAGGTGTCGGGTTCCTCCATTTCCTACACCTTTCCCCACTTCTTTCTCTCTCTAAACTCTCTCTCTAAGCCTCCTTAACCCCCCCCCCCCAAAGCCTAGGGTAACTCCCTAGCACAAGGCGGAAGCCCCGGAGCACCCGACGGCTCCAAGAAAAGAGCCTTTCGGCTCGGGAACGCTGCTCCAACGAAGTCCGGTTTTGCGAAAAAACTGTTGTAAGTGAGCTACGCCTACGTTATTTTTAATATAGCTTCTAATTAATCATAGTAACATTATTAGGACCTTAAAATACTTATTTGGGCTATTATTATGAGTTATATTGAGTGTTATTTAACGCTTATATAATAATAATAATAATAATAATAATAATAATAATAATAATAATAGCTAGATGGTGGTTGTCGAGGCCAACAAAATTAATAACCCTAAATATTACATACTAAAATAGTGTATAGTGGTAAAGGGGTCGAATCCACGGAGATTGGTTCAATTTATAACCCTATGAAAAATCTCTTTGTAAAAATACTTGTGAAATAACAATAAAAATAAAATGCGGGGGGGGGGGGGGGGGTTGAAATACTTGAAACAAACTAGAATTAACTATGATTTAAATAAACAATTTCAACAGAAATAAGGATTTGATGTAAAATCAATAAGGGAGAAATGGTTGACTTAAAGTTTCTTCACTTTGACTTTTGATGAACATATCATTAGAATCCAATGGTGCAATACTTTGATTTAAATCCTTAATTTGGCTATAGTAATCCAAGAAGCTTAGGATTACCTAAACTTTTCTTAATTGTTGAAATGGCTAGAGAAGCTCATAACAATTTCCTTAGTCAAAGTCACTAATTTCAAATAGTATGTAATTAGTGAAAGTCAACTAGCATTAAGAACCAAAAAGTCACCAAATCCAAGAGGAGTTAATTGCTTTCACTACCATGTTGGAGGAAATGTTTTTAAGATTGTGTGAAGCAAAAACAACACAAAAATCATTTGTTGCTTGCTAATTCGAGGATCCTTTACTTAATCAAGAAATTAGCCAACTAATCACCACAACCACATTTAAACTCATTAATAAAAACATACTAGTAGTGATAATATGATAAAACACAAAACATTTCCATAAAGATTTAAGACCAAGTTCATGGATTCTTCAACATTCAACAAAAGTTCAAAGGATTCAACAAAAAGTCAACCAAGATTAGTTTAGCCAAGCATGACTAAACTCAAAGAAACAAAGTTAGTTAAGATTGTACCAAACATTTGACAAGAATCAAGAGATGAAAAGAAGATATTCTTCAAGTGTTCTTGGCCTCCAAAAGTGCTCCAAACTCTAGAGAGAAAGTATCAAAATCGGACCTCCAAGATGATGCTAAAGAGGCACACCAACCTTCCCAATATAGAGCTCTTAGAAAAATCCCGAAATTGCCCTTGTCAGGAATTCACGCGGGCCGCGGGTTCGATGGGATTTTTGGGCTTCTTCAAGTCTTGGGCCCCCAAAGCTAATCCATTGGCCCAATTTGGATCCAATCAGTTCCTAGTCCATTTTCTTCAATATTTCTTCAATTATAGCCCAACTTGTCTTTCCACATTACTCAAAACTTCCGCAAACTCTTAAACATCGATCTTGCACACTCAAGAATTCTCTCGCGCCCTTTCAAATTTAAAGTTCAACACTTCTGCGCCTTCAAGCAATCGACACGCCAACTCCAAGAATCACATCCACAACCATCAAGCACGAAATCCCCATTGCTCTTCAAG